TAACCTTTCCCTACTGCAGTGTCTCCAGCTCCAGGCCCAAAAGATGCTCCTGTCCATATCCCCAGGCGAAGGAGAGGACTGTCCTTTTCCTGCCTTGGTCCTAATTGTTCAAGATGAGCTTTGGTCTTAATTATGTTTTAAATTTGCTTTTAATCGAGTTCTGGCTCTTTTCTCCTTTCCCATATTTGTTTGCAGCCTGAGTACATATGGAGGGAGGAATGTTGGGGGTCTGGACCCCTCCACACTCCAGTGTCCCTCCCTCCCTAGACCCCATCCAGCAATCCAACTTAAATCCCCTTGCTCTGGTCTGGAATTTTAATGTGGGGCTTGCAAGGAGGGAACTGAGCAGCGCAGGACGGAAGTTCATTGTCTCATTTTATCAGGGATAATCAGATGTTTGTAACAAGTTTCTCCAAGCTACACAGAGTGTTTTTCCAGGCCAAGAATCAGGCAGAGCAGGCCAGGTCAGGGACTTTGCAACACAGGCAACCATCATCCCCAAGTCCAGGAAACCTGCTGGGGTCTCAGCTTAGGAGACGTGGAGGGAACCTGCTAGGAACTTCTGCTATCCAGGCAGATGGGTCCTCTGAGCCAGGCCTGCTCTGTTAGGGTCTTGAGTCCCAGGAGGGATAGGGAGGTGCCTAAATTCTTTTTTTTTAATTATTTATTTATTTTTGGCTTCGTTGGGTCTTTGTTGCTGCGCGCGGGCTTTCTCTAGTTGCGGTGAGCGGGAGCTACTCTTGTTTGTGGTGCGCGGGCTTCTCATTGCAGTGGCTTCTCTTGTTGTGCAGCACAGGCTCTAGGCACGTGGGCTTCAATAGTTGTGGCACGCGGGTTCAGTAGTTGTGGCTCACAGGCTCTAGAGCTCAGGCTCAGTAGTTGTGGCTCACGGGGTTAGTTGCTCCGCGGCACGTGGGATCTTCCCGGACCAGGGCTCAAACCCATGTCCCCCTGCATAGGCAGGTGGATTCTTAACCACTGTGCCACCAGGGAAGTCCCAGGAGGTGCCTAAGTTCTTATAGCACATTGGAGGCAGAGCTGTGCCCAGATCAGGACTCTCCTGTCCTCCTAGCTGGGGCCTCTCTCAGAGCCCCTTTCTCAGAAAAGTCATCTCTTGGTTGTATTCCTTCCTCCATCCATTCTTCAACATTCACTAAAGGACTACTGTGTGCCAGGCTGGTGCTGGGGATGCAGTGGGAAAGGACAGGCCCTGTTCCTATCTTCATGGAGCTCTCAGTCGCATCCCATCCCAGGCCTTAGTCTCTCCCTCTGTAAAATGGGGACAGGAGACTGTCCCTGCCCAGTACTTCTGGTTTCACAGCTCCAGGAGTCATCATTTATAAAGGCCACAGTGAAAACAGTGTCTCTGAAGGTTGTGCCACCTTCAGCACCATTCCTGGCACCCCTGCTGTGTGGCTCAGGGGAAAGGCCATAGGAGGAGGAGGTGAGGAGCGACCCCAGTGTGGGGCATTCCAGCCTGCTCTCAGGGGACAAGGCCAAGGGCAGTGTGGCTCAGTGGGCTTGGTTCTTGGAGAATGGGAAGCCCAGGGCCAGAGAAGCCAGGCCAGAGCAGGTTCTTAAGGGACATCAGTGGGGCAGCTAGAAGCCTGAACTCAGGGACACCCTTTCACCTCCAACCTCAAATAAGCCAGAGGCAGTGAAGAGTCCTGGCTGAGATCCAGGACCCAGAGACCTTGGCCCCTGAGCTCTGCCCTCCCCACCATGCCCATATTTCTCATGCTCCACCTCAGCTACTTCTCACTGTCCCAGGGGCCAAGACCCTTCCAGATGCCATGCCTTTGCACCTTTGCCTTCATGCAGTGTTTTTGTTTTGTTTTATTTTTTAATATATCTTTATTGGAGTATAATTGCTTTACAGTGTTGTGAATCAGCTATATGTATACATATATCCTCATATCCCCTCCCTCTTGAGCCTCACCCCTCTGGGTTGTCGCAAAGCATTGAGCTCATCTCCCTGTGCTATGCAGCAGCTTCCCACTAGCCGTCCATTTTACATTTGGTAGTGTATATATGTCAATGCTACTCTCTCACTTCGTCCCAGCTTCCCCTTGCCCCCACTGTGTCCTCAAGTCTGTTCTCTACATCCATGCAGTGTTTTTAACCCTGTTGGCACATTGGAGTCGCCTGCAGGGCTTTTAAATTGTGATGCCCAGGCCCCACCCCAGACCAAGTATAGCAGATTCTGTAGGGGTGGGGCTGGGCTTCAATATTTTTCAGTGCTCCGCAGATGATTCAGTGTAGATTCAGAGCTCAGGACATTTCCCCTAAAATGGCAGAAATAATTCCTTCCCACGATTACTGGCCTCTTTCTGAGTGCCTACCAAGTGCGCAGCCTAAGATGAGCCAGAGCACTTCAGAACTCTGCAAATCCTCCCTACAACACAACTCTCATCCCCATTTTACATTTGAGGAAACAACCCCAGCAAGGTTACACCACTGGCCCCAGGTCTCACAGCAAAACCAGACTATAGATCCAGGCACTTGGGCTCCAAAGCCCAGATACTGCCCCT